GTGTGGCAAAACCTGAGATAAGGACATGTTAAGTCGGGTGAACTGTCTTCTAGGTGCATCCTGACTGCGTTGATTGTTTTATCGTTGAGTTAATACAGGGTTGGAGATCATTATAGCTCCCATTGTTGGATGGCGTTAAGCTTTGCTTTGATTCGTTTGACCGTAGGCAACACTTACTTCTTTCTTCCCAGAGAATGGTTTCTTTACTGTACTTGAAGACGCGTCTCTCTGAATCTTACTGCTCTTGATACCAGCTTCTACTCTTTCACCTGTCAATATCAGCTCGGTGAACCCAGCTGAAGAGCTCCCGATCAGATGTTTGAAGAATGGGTCTAAAAAAGTACCCAAGAACATATCTACCAGCTCTCAATCAGACAGAGGAGGCTGGACTCTTCCTGCAAGATCTCTGCATTTCTGGGCATAATCTTTGAAACCCTCACTGGAACCCATAGACATGCTTTGAAGTTGTGTACGAGTTAGAGCGAGGTCAGCATTATACTGGTACTGCCTGTAGAACGCAACAGCCAGATCCTCCCAGTTGCGGATGTTGGTTCCCTCCAGCTGATAGAACCACTCCAATTGAGTCCCCGATAAACTTTCATGTAATAAATGCACCCATAAATTCCTACCAGTGGTGTGAGGTTGGATCTTCCTGACATAGGACCTCAGGTGCAGCTTAGGACATGAAACCCCGTCAAATTTAGAAAATGCGGGAACTTTGAACTTTGGGGGAATGATCACTCCAGAAACCAACCCTAATTCTTTAAAATCCAGACCAGGTACTCTCTGAATTTCCATGGCGTTGAGACGATCCTCCAATTTTTTATATTTGTCATCAGTAGGAGGATATTGTTCTTCAGCATAGTCAGCCTCTTCTTCATCATACCCCAGACTCTGGTCCCCTTATTTTGTCTTATCTTCCTGATTGTCTCCCTCATTTGATGGAGTTGCGAATTCTAGAGCTCGCTTTGCTGGTTCTCTGAATCTCCTTCCCATATTCAGGACACCCACCATTTTCTTTATCTTTTTCTTCTTGTCTTTGATCATGAGAGCCTTCAGGTCCTCTTGTCCTTTAGCTAGAGCCAGGAACATCTGTTGGAGTTGAGCATTTTGTGCTTGAAGATCCTTCACTGTTTGTTCGATATCCATCTTACTGAAATAAATAGTAGAAAGATAAGAAAACATGTTATGGAAAACCTGTTTATGTTATGATGCATGAACGTGCATATGCAAATAATTTCAAGGATTTAGAAGATTCAAATTTGTTTAGACAAAAGGGAACAAACATTAATTGTATTAATAAGTTCAAATTTCTTACAACATGCCCCTTGGGATTACATACAAAATAAACTTTCTAAAAAAAAAGAAATTAAGCTTCCCACGAGCGCATCCTCTTTGGTGTAATGTAGGTGTTCAAACTCTGCTCCTCATGGAGTTGTCTCGTGAGCTCCAGAACCTTCTTCTTGTTTGCATAGCACTGGGCTTCAAAGGTGTCTCGCTCCCCCTTTAGATGAATCCAAGCTCTTTGAAAATCTTCAAGAGAAGTAGGCATATCGTGATAAAGGACAATATATGGAACGTCTCCTTTGGCAACAAGCTCTATGATGATTGGTAAAATGGCCTCATAAGGCATCCTGGGATTTTGAGAGCGAGCTCGCACCCACTTAAGGTAAGGATCAAGGGGAAAGGAATTCTTATGTCCCAATGTCTTACTATCCACTTTGTTTATCATTCTCCAAGCTCGTATGAACCTTTGATGATAGCCTTGGTTGTTGCCATCGTAATCGAATACCAAACCTTGGATGAGTGCATCATGGGGTCCATCTCTTTGCGCATACCCAAACTATCATAAAGCCAAACAAGGATTGTAATTACCTCTCCTAATTCCAAGTAGAGGGACATTAGGGAATTCCCTGAAACGGTTGATAATAGTAATTTCCTCCAAAGATCGAGAACACCAATGAATATCTGAATGCTTGAGTGACATCAACCTATTAGACCATCTCATTCCTTGCTCATTTTTCAAAACAGATAGAGGTAGGTGCGAAATAAACCACCTAACCAACAGAGAAGTGCAATACATAAGGGTCCCCCTTCTATTCATGGTGCGAGAGTTAAAAGAATGCAAGATGTCCCCAAGAAAAGTAGGCACCAGATTGCGAGATATAAATTTTTTGACTGCGCTCACATCTATAAGTTAGTTAGGATTGGGAAGTAGTATCATCCCGTAGATGAGAAGAGCCAAAACTTCTTTAAAGGATTGTAAATTCAAAGTATCCCAACAATCTTGAGCCTTCTCCAATAAAAACTTGGCTAGAAACCCTTTGACACCACTTCTTGTTTTCCAGTTAGCCACGACGTCGGATTGTTGCAAATGTAGAGCTCGAGAAATATCCTCAGGTTTCGGGTATCTTTCAATACCGTTGAAAGGTAATTGATCAAGAATAGGAATTCCCAAGAGTTGAGAGAATTCTTCCATAGTAGGCACAAGTTGGTAATCAGGAAAGGTAAAGCAATGGTGTAAAGGGTCGAAGAACTGAAAAAGCACCTTCATCATGTCTTCATCAAGGCTTGAGGTAACTAGATTGAGAAGCCGACCATGTCTCTTGGTGAACGGAGAATTCTCAGGAATCCTTGATGCTAATTCTTTTAGTTGAAGAGGCACTTGTACGAGGTTGACTTGGATAGTATTCCTGCGAGTGGGAGTCATGTCCTATAAAACAGAACAAAAATAAATCTCTAGGTCCTTGAAATGGTTAGTGAAAAATGCTATGGTATGATGTCATGATGTTATGTAAAAGTAAACATATACACACAAAACAAGTCCTTAGGTTTATGCTTGCATGGAGTTCATTGGTAAGTACCATCTTGAAGTTTAGTTGGTTCAACCTGTCCTAGAAAGTAATCGGGTTCTAGGGAATTTCAATATCACTGATCTTTCTTCATCGAGAATTGTTTCAGCGTAAGCCTCTTTATTGGCGACTGAAATATCCCGAAAGTATGATCTCAATGAGCATAGTATCGAGTATCAACCAACTTTGGATTGCACCAAAGTCGGCTATCTCACTACTTTCTAATGGCCAAGTTGTTCAATTAAAGGTTCTAAGATCAGTTAGTGCTTTATGACACCATACAGCGGCCCCATATTCTCCTTGACTAAACTCAAGGGCTACCGGTACCAACAAATGTTTCACACTAACGTAGCCATCACTTCAACCATGTCGGTATACCCCGCACAATTTCCATGATCTTTTGCTACTTACCTAATGGTATTCCCCGATCCGGGTAGAGGATCAATACAAACCCAAACAAGGACCCATAAATATAAAGCAATCAAGTCAAACAAAGAAAGCAAATAAATGTGATCTAGCTCTAAGGTAACCCCACTTTTAATTTTAGTTCTCAGCCGAGTCTCCAATTTTGTAATACGGTGGGAGAACTGACTTAGGTATTTTTACGTTTTATCGTAAATGTTGCGGTTAGCAAGAGTCGCCATCGACTTTTCTTTTATCCAATAAGGAAAGAGTGAAAAGAACAGGAAATATCTTCGAGATATTTTCTTGAGTTCGGGGGGGTAGGTTATGAAAAGGGAAGGTATTAGCACTGTTTTCATCCGTAGTTATCTACCGGCTCTTAGTTACTTGCTAGATCACTTTGAAAAATGCTTTGTTTGAAAATGTGTTTTGTGGTGGATTTTTGAAAGTATTTTAAAAACGTCTTTGTTGCGGCAAACTTTGTAATAATTCTCGTTTCTATAAGAATATATACAAAGTGTTGGTTTTTAAAATAGTTTAAAGAGATATTTGTTTTTTAAAGATGTTTTGAAAGTGTAAGTGTGGAAATGGTTTTATTTTGCGAGTAAGCAACTACAAGCGTCCTACCTACTCAAAAGGTATGTGTTCTTTTCCTCCTCCTTTAGATGTTGCTATCTTATCATTCATTTTGTGAGAAGCCCCATCATTGGATGTGAAGGAACGGGCGTGGGTCAATTGTATAGTCATAGAAGGCAACTTATGAGATGTTTTAGCAATTTTCGTAAGGGACTAGATCGTTTACTGAAGGCAACATCGAAGGACATCGAGGGACTACGATCTTTTTTATCGAGGGTCTTTGCTAAAACGCCCATATTTGAGGGACATGACTATTTTCCGAGGCAACAAGCGAGGTTACCCTAGAGGTGCACGTGTGTGAATAGTGTGTTTGATTGCATGCATTTTGTCTTTGAAATTAAGATTTTCTAATGGTTGATTTTATCTTGCCATACACACCCTATATCACTCACAAATTTGGATCGCAATTTTAATGTGGATGGGGAGTAAAGTGAATATGTCAGTGTAGGATTTGATGGATTACCCGAATCATTTTCAGAAGGTCGGGAATAAGGAAGATAGCGGAGCAGTGTATGTTATTTGCTTGGCAAGTGTTTAGGCTATTTGGTTGCATATGAATGTCATAATTTTCAAAGATAAAGCTCTTAATTTTGAAGAGTGCATCTCGGCTATTAAGTTTTCCTCTTGTAAATGGATCAATGTAGGGAGAACCCATTCATCTTGTTGTAGCTATTATGATTGGTATACTGCGCCATTGTATTCTCTTGTTTAAGGGGTCTTTTTAGTTGTAAGAGGGTGTGAGTACCCTTGTATTCAATTTTGAATGAAATCTTTTGCCTATTAAAAAAAATATATTTTTGCTAAATTATTACAAAATTATTATTTTTGAAATAAACATTGATATTTTGTTTTTATCACAAAGTTGGATATATCTACACAAAAATGTATAAATAATAAAGTGAAAATAAATCAATTTGTCTCAACAAAAAGACATAAAATCTAGCTTAGTCTCCAAGGCTTAAAGTTTTGATCAAAGACGAAATAAACACAAAATAAAAAACAACAGAATAAAAAACAAATTCTCCATATATATCTACTTTTCATCTCTATTTATACAATTTCTTCAAAGCAAGAAAATTCAATTCCCTGACTCATTTTATTTTCTTTCATATGGACTCAATTAATTCAGACCCTCCCTTTGAAGAAACATACAAGAACCTATTCAACAAAGCTCAAAATCACATTAACAATGATGAGTTAATGGTGGAGGAAGAATGTGAGCTTCCTTTGATTGATCTGAGCAGTTTAAACGAAATTGACTATGACGACGTGACGAGAGAAGAGTGCAAGTCTATGATAGCAAAAGCATCACAGGATTGGGGTTTTTTCCAAGTTGTGAATCATGGAATTTCAAATGAGATTTTAAGGTTATTAAGGTTAGAACAAGAGAAAGTGTTTAAAGAACCTTTTGAAAAGAAGAGAAAAGAGGATAAGTTTTTGAGTTTTTCAGCTGGTAGTTATCGTTGGGGAACACCAAGTGCTACATGCATTCAACAGTTATCTTGGTCAGAAGCATTTCATATTCCTTTGATTGATATATTAGGAAGATCTACCGGATCAAACACTCATTTTAGGTATGTTTTCTTCTATAATAATCATTTTCCCTATTATAAATATATTTACGGTCTCGTCTCGTCTGTTTCCTTAACATAGACAAATGTGATAAACTAATTATAAATTTAGTAATGCATATCTTTTTGCAGCTCAATAATTGAACAATTTGCTACCACAGTTTCAAACCTTGCACAAATATTAGCTGATATACTAGCTGAAAAATTGGGTCTCCAATCAACTTTCTTCAAAGAAAATTGCTTGCCAAACACATGTTATCTTAGATTGAACAGATATCCTCCATGTTCTCTTGATTTTAGAATGCATGGCCTAATACCACATACAGATAGTGATTTCCTCACCATATTATATCAAGATCAAGTTGGAGGCTTACAATTGGTCAAAGATCGAAAATGGTTCGCTGTTAAACCAAACCCTAACGCTCTTATAATCAACATTGGAGACTTATTTCAGGTACTAATTAACAATAATCATTTCTATTTTGATATTTTTAGTTTTGGTAATATTAATAATACAATAACCAACTATAACTAATCATAACTAATTATAGAAATCAAGTACAACAAACAAATTGATTAGACTAAAAAGAGTTAACTTGTTTCTCAAGTAATTTTTATATGCTTCATATCTTTACATTGAATAGTTATGCTGTTAATTATGTAGGCTTGGAGCAATGGAGTCTATAAGAGTGTTGAACATCGAGTTGTGACAAATCCGAGAGTTGAAAGATTCTCTGTGGCGTATTTTTTGTGTCCTTCAAATAACACCGTGATAGAGAGTTGTGAAGAGCCTTCTGTTTACAAGAAATTTAGCTTTGAAGAGTATAGACAACAAGTTCACGATGATGTTCAAAAACTAGGTACCAAAATAGGCCTACCTAGGTTTCTCAAATCATGAAACTATGCAGTGCATCAAAAATAGTAATAATAAAATTAATGTCATATAGTACTCCAACAACATTTTGGTCATGTTACATGTGATAATTTGAAGAGATCATTATACAGTATTCTTACATCTAATTTTAACTCGGCACGAATTATAGAAACTTAAGTTTTGTAAATTCAAAGTACCGAGTTAAAAAAAATGCGTCCCTAAATTGTAAGATTCTAAATGATGAAATTGTACACTAATAAGAGTGTGGTTTCACTTTCATATTTCACTCACTATTTCCTATATCACTCACAAATTCATCTGAATTTTGCTTATTGCTAATAAGAGTGAAATATATGAGCAACATTGTTCCCATGCTTGACCTGTTGAAGAATCAAACAATTAGTCAATACAAAGTTTCAAAGTAAAAAAAAGGCAAAATAAAATAAAATGTATACTAGGTGAATATATCTTACAAGGTGGCAAAGAAAATGAGAACCCTTTTAGGATCAAGCGACCATGAAGTAGATCTTAGGAAACTATTTCTCCGAGTTAAGGATTTGGTTTCACCCGTGGTTGTGCCGCTTTGTTGATGGATATGTGGGTTGATGGAATGATCCGTCGAAAACATTGTCATGGCTCCATTTTTTTCTGGCGTGCCACACACTGTCATTTTATATCGTATTAAATAAATTTAACTATGCGACGGAACAAATATCTAGCTAGTCAAACAATTAAAATCCTAACTTTTGAAAGGGCAATGGTACCTAATGGGGGGCACATAGCAGAGATGAGATCCTTATTGTCATGAATTTGAAGTGTTGTAATGCCGCTCACTTTCCTGTCACCCAAGCGTTGTGATCCTTTTCTTGATAAGGTCCTTTGCATCTTCTTAGGGTTAAAATAATAACATATTAATAACATGATAAAATTCAAATGTAAAACCTTTATTTAATTAATAACAATAACTTCAAAAGTTAGATATATTATCCAACAAAGTTTGAATCCAAATTTACAAAGTATGATATTACTACAGTGATTAGTCTGGATGAATGTCTCATTGCATTGTCGAAATGATTCGATTGATAATTATGAGAAAAATTTCTTCTAATTTAAAAATAATTTGTGATGAAATTGTGAGATATTAAAGAAAACTAAAATGTTTTTTTCCGAGTAAAAAGAGAAAATCAAACCGTAATTCTCGAATTTGTATTGACATTATCTTTATTGATGCCGGGAGAAAATGGATCCACATCAATCACATAGCTTTCTATTTTCTCATTTGTGTATTGAAATGAATTCATACGATCCAAGCTTTTTCGCTCCATTTGAAAAGCATCTCCACAACCATAGTAAGAAGAAGATGACAAGTAATCCTTAAAAAAAACATCAACAAATCCAAGGATCCATAATAAATAACACATTCTTATTTTATAACAATACAATTGAACATTAATTATAAAACATAATCTTACCATCTTGGGATTTTCCTCCATATTTCAATAACTTTGTAAGAGATGAAGAAACATAGGATTATGTTGAGGTTTGCATGACCATTGACATAATTGGTTTGAAACTAAAAAACCCAATACAAGAAGGAGAAAACCAATGACCTAATTGATCTTTTTAACTTTTGCAAATTATTGTATGTTGAATTCAACAAAGGGTTAAAAATATTGTTGTGAAAAGATAAATTTTGAGTTGTTTCTTTGTAATGGAGATTTTCAATATGGAAGAATCAATCACTAGGAACAAATTGACATGCAAATGCAACTACTATGTTTTTTTTTTTTTGAAAATCTAATTCTCTTCTCTATTTTTCTTTTCCGTAGAATGATTGGCTTTTTTTAGAAGGGAGAAAAAAAGTTAGAGACAATGAGGAATTGATGGTGGAAATCATTATATTTTTTATCACTTATCAATTATAATATTTGTATTAATTAAAATTAAAATAAATAATTTATCTCTCCTCTATTATCACAACCACCCATGATATGACAATTAAAAAATAAATTAAATTTTAAATAAATTAAAAAATTCCTCCTTTCTTATCTGCTATTTCTAAAAAAATAAATGTATATCTATTCTCATACAAGAATTACTCTTCTATTAATGTATCAAAAAATTACATATACAAATTGACATTTTTAAATTTGTTAAATTGCAATCCAGTGTATCAAAACTATGTGTCGAAAAGATTTGATTTGTTTTAGATTTAAATAGATTTGATTTAAGTCTAGAATAAATTAGATTTGATTTAGTAACAAAATAGATATTTTGGGCTCTGGACTTAGGGTGTAAGCTCAGTTATAAATAGAGAGAGTAATCCCTATTTTTGTAAGCAAGTCAAACAAGTTGTATTCACAGAATTTGCACTTGCAAGTGAATAACAAAGTTTTCACAGTTTGTGAGCAGAGAGAAACTCTGCAGAAATTATTTGTCTTGTCTTCTTTTCTTTGTTTGTCTCATAATTAAATTGTCATTGTGGTAGAAATTCATCATAGACTTTGGTGGATTTCCAACATCTAGTATCAAGAGCTTTGTTTCGATTCAAGGGAAGTATCAATCAAGAACGATTGAAGAATTCACGATGACAAGTTATGGGAATGCAAACTATCCAACAACCTACCAATTTTGAAAGTTGACAACTATGAGAATTGGTGCAAACAGATGAAAGTCTTATTCAGGTGTCAAGGTCTTTGGGACCTTGTAAAAGATGGAGTCAAAGCGCTTGGAGAAAACGCTTCAAAAGAAGAAAAGAAGAAATATACAGAAGCTGAGTTATAAAGCATTATTTATAATTCATCAACGTGTCAGCCCAGACAACTTCGAAAAGGTTAGTGATTCAGAATCTGCAAAAGAAGCTTGGGAAATCCTTGAGAAGTCTTTTAGAGGCGCTGAGAAGGTGAAAGAAGTGAGGTTACAAACTCACAAAAGGACGTATGAATTGCTTCAGATGGAAGACAGTGAAAGCATATCTGATTTCTTCACTAGAGTTACAAAACTAGTAAATCAAATCAAGATATGTGGATAAACGTTAACAACAAGAGTCGTTGTTTCGAAGATCTTGAGATCTTTAGCTCCTAAGTTCGACCACATAGTGGTGGCGATAGAAGAGGGGAAAGACTTGTCGAAATTGACAAAGGAAGAGCTTCAAGGGACGCTTGAATCTCATGAACAAAGAATGAAAGAAAGAGCTGCAGGCAAATCGAAGAGTGATGTGGCCTTGCAGGCACATTCAGCAAAAGAGACCAAAGGCAAAGGAAAGTGTTTCGACAGAGGTAGAGGTGGCTACAACAAATCGAATGGTAAAGGAAACCAAATCGAAGGAAACGTGTCAAATCAAAGAAGATCATACCAAGGCAACCAAAGAGGTGGTGTTGCAAATAGAGGAAGAGGTGGTGGTCAAAAACCTGATAAGAGTCACATTCAATGTTACAATTGTCAGAAGTATGGTCACTATTCGAGTGATTGTCCAGAAAAAAGAAAGAATCAAGAAAGTGATGCAAAGCTTGCAAAACATGAAGAAGAAGAAGAAGAAGAAGAAGAGATGATGTTGATGGTCACAATAAAAGATGAAGATAGATTCAAGGACCAATGGTACTTGGATTCAGGATGTTCATCACATATATCTGGAAGGAAAGACTGGTTTGTCAATATAAAGCCCTGTATGGATTGAAACAAGCTCCAAGAGCTTAGAATAAGAAAATTGATAGTTTCCTAAGGGAGAAGGAATTTGTAAAGTGCACAACTGAACATGGAGTATATGTAAGAAGAAGCAATAGGGAATTGCTTATACTATGTCTCTATGTAGATGATTTGTTGATAACAGGTAGCTGTAAAAGTGAGATCGAAGACTTCAAAGGTGATCTCAGCAAGGAATTTGAAATGTCTGATTTTGGTGAGATTTCATATTTCCTTGGAATCGAATTCTACAAGAGCAGTAGAGGTTTGATGATGCATCAAAGAAGATATGCAGGAGAAATTCTCAAGAGGTTTGAGATGGAAGAATGCAACTCAACTTCGACACCTGCAGAACCAAGACTGCAACTGTCAAAAGATGCAGATGAAGATGATGTTGATCCAACCCAATACAGAAGACTTATTGGATCATTGAGATACCTTTGTCATACAAGGCCTGACTTAGCATATAGTGTAGGTATGGTAAGCAGATTCATGCAAAAGCCAAATGTATCACATCTAGCAGCAGTGGAGAGGATACTAAGGTATCTCAAATGAACTTTCGATTATGGAATTTTGTTTCCTGCAGATGATAAAGGAAAAGAATGCAAGTTAGTGGGATACACCGATTCGAGTTGGTGTAGTGATGCTGAAGATCGAAAGTCAACAGCAGGATATGTGTTTATGCTAGGTGGTGTACCAGTTGCTTGGAATTCAAGAAAGGAACCAGTAGTGGCATTATCATCATGCGAAGCAGAATATATAGCTGCTTCTCTTTGTGCATGTCAAGCAACTTGGATGGTGAACTTGGTCGAAGAGATAACAGGGAAAGATCATGGAGCAATTACCATGAAGATCGACAGCATGTCAGCTATCAATCTGGCGAAGAACCCAATAGCACATGGTCGAAGTAAGTACATCGAAATGAGGTTCCATTATCTTCGAGAGCAGGTAGCAGATGTGAAGATGAATTTGAAACACTGCAGAACTGAGAATTAGATTGCAGACATCATGACGAAGGGAGTGCAAGTCGAAGTATTCAGAAGACTAAGAGTCATGATGAACATAGATAGTTTAGACACAATGAATTAGGCGGTGTGTTAAATTATAATCTAGTGTGTCGAAACTATGTGTCGAAAAGATTTGATTTGTTTTAGATTTAAATAGATTTGATTTAAGTCTAGAATAAATTAGATTTGATTTAGTAACAAAATAGATATTTTGGGTTCTGGGCTTAGGGTGTAAGCTCAGTTATAAATAGAGGGATTAACCCCTATTTTTGTAAGCAAGTCAAGCAAGTTGTATTCACAGAATTTGCAGTTACAAGTAAATAATAAAGTTTTCACAGTTTGTGAGCAGAGAGAAACTCTGCAGAAATTATTTGTCTTGTCTTCTTTTCTTTGTTTGTCTCATAATTAAATTGTCATTATGGTAGAAATTCATCATAGACTTTGATGGATTTCCAACAAAACTTATAACTTTTTTATTATATGATAAATGTTAATTGGTCCTTAGTCAAAGTCAATGAAACCTCTAAACCATGATTATAAATGAAAGAATATAAATATATATTTAATTATTACGAACATGTAATTTTTTGAAATATTTTCCACATCCTCCTTGTCCGTACACTGTCATTAGTCTATCTCTTGGTTTATGTGTTGTTAAAGAAACTTGGGATTGAAGTTACTATGTTTGAAGAGGGAGTTTTCGTGTGAAGCTTGAAATTCTTGTGGAATGAAGTATTGAAAGTGTAAATTGGAAAATTATCATAATTGGAAAATTATCATATATATATATATATATATATATATATATATATATATATATATATATATATATATATATATATGTTTGAAGAGGGAGTTTTCGTGTGAAGCTTGAAATTCTTGTGGAATGAAGTATTGAAAGTGTAAATTGGAAAATTATCATATATATATATATATATATATATATATATATATATATATATATATATATATATATATATATATATATATATATATATATATATATATATATATATATATATATGTATATATAAAATATGTATTGGTGTATAAAGGAGAGATGAAAGACAAAATAAATATATTAAATGACGGTTATAAAATAAAGAGTAATGAATTACATTGACTTACCTACTACTAGGCTATTTATACACAACTATTATGATATATAATAAAATACTAAAATATCTTTTAACAAATTTAGTCAACAAGACATTTTTAAAATATAAATTATTTCCAACATTATCTCTTAATTTACATTTACACAAAACTGACAACACAAATTTCATCCCTCAAACGAAGAAATTGATCAATCTTAACAACCTTTGTTAGAACGTCCGTCAGCTGCTTCTGGATGCTACAGTGCACAACTTCTAATATTCTACTCTGAACCTGATTCCTCAGAAAGTGATACTTGGTCTCAATATGCTTGCTTCTCTTATGCAGCACTGAGTTCTTGGCAAGATTGATTGCAGACTTGTTATCAATCATCAACTTCAGAGGCTTGTTTACCACGATCTTTAGATCCTACAGCAAGTTCAGAATCCACACAACTTAGCATGCAGTTAGAGCGCCTGCAATATATTCAGCTTCACAGGTTGACAGCGCAACAACAGGTTGCTTCTTGGAACACCAAGAAATAAGACCTCCCAGATATTTAAATAAGTATCCAGAAGTACTTCTTCTATCAACTCTGTCTCCACACCAATCAGAGTCTGAATAACTCAAAAGTTCTGATTTGATCTTTCTTCCAGAAGGAAATAATACTCCATACTTCAGAGTTCCCTTCACATACCTCATAATCTTGA